GATCAAAAAATTATCCAAAAACATCTTCTCTCACCCACTGTATTTAAAAACATCATTTTGACTAATAAAAACTTTGCAGGTACTGTCTCAAACTCTCATGCATTTTAAATTTCAGGAGCGAAGTGGATCGTGAATACTGTAGCAAATACGACCTTTGGATTGCTGCGATTGACCAGCATGCACAGCCAATGATTTCATATGCAAACATTGTCATCAATGTTTTAGATATCAATGATAACAAACCGCGATTCGAAATGGTTCAAATTTTAAACTGTTGAACTGCTTCTGCAATTCGACGTAAATTTATACGATTAGGAATGAGGATTGTCCTCAACTTGCCTTTAGGAGTCTTCAAAAGAGGAAGTCGTCGACAGCTTCTGCCAGTGGATTGTTTTTATTCATGTTTGCTACCACTCAAATTACTAGCCTTCGCCACAAAAATGAAAATGTCTGAAGGATTTGATATATTAATTTTGAAATCTTTGGAAACGATCTTCAACGCACCCATGTAAAATAAAAAGGCAGACCAATAGACAGCGAGATTATAGAGTTAATAAATTTAAACATTTGACAGAAATTATAAAGTAGTAAGAACAACAAGACCGCCTGAGCTGTCAGTGTGGGTATCCCATGTTAGTGATGCTACTAGATTTAATAATATGAATAAAATAGCTTAATATCTGTGAAAGCAGGCGAGTATATGCGGTTTTCTGAGAAAAACGCATTAAATGAATTAGTAGATTTAAATAAATTAGCGAACGAAGAAAGTCTGAAAATGAAGAAGCATTTTGCTCGCCTCCTCGTTTAAGTTTCATCTCAGATTGGATTTTTTGAACTCCACCGTTGATTTTGTTTTTTACAGGTTTCCTACTCTGCTTCTGTGGCAGAAAACGGTGAAAGCAATGAACTGGTCCTTAAAATAAGAGCGCAGGATTCGGATTCCGGGAAAAATGCTGATATTTCATACAGTCTGCTAAATGATGGCACGGATGCATGGAAGTATTTCCGAATTGATGAGAAAACGGGCGAAATCTTTACCATTACAAGTTTGGATGCCGAACTTTTCAGAGAATGCCGTCTGAGCGTTATTGCGCGAGATTATGGTAGCCCATCGCTCTCCGCAATTACGGTTGTGAAGGTAAATTTATCAGGATTAACAAGATAATATAGATTGCCAGTGTTGGGATTTGATGTTAGTGATGTTAGTAATGTTAGTTTTCTGTTTTCACCGGCATCTCGGAAGTTTTTACTGTAGAAACCCTTCCCTTACTTCTTACAAACCGTTCATTAGCAAAACGTTTTGTAGTCGGAAAACGCAGGTCTAGCTTTCTTCGCTCTGAAAGCGCATAATTTAACGTTAAAAACAAAAAAGCGTATATGTTTAATTTTCAGATTGAAGTGTTGGATGAAAATGATAACTCGCCTCGTTTTTCAAATCTTTTCCACGGAACTGTTGATGAAAATAGTCCACCAGGAACACCAATTATACAAGTAATTTTTTCTTCAAAATGAAATTGGCAGTGGATTTGTGTGTTTCCAGTCGAAGAAGGCACAAATGACTGAAATTTGATTGTGCTTCTTGTTTTTTTGATTGGAAAAATTCAGGGCTTTTGCAATTAGTCCCACATGATTTTTTTGTCATTTTCTTCGAAAAAGTGATTTAGGTAACAAGTTACGACGCTGATTTTAATAGTACTCTGGAATATGGATTGGAAGGAGTGGATGCTGATAAATTTTCTATCGAACAGCATACTGGCTTGATTAGCCTAGCTACCGAAATTGATCGCGAAAAGGTTTGTTTGCTGGGAAATACATGCTCATTAAAGATATTTTTCATGTGAGATATGGTAGTATTTAGTGAATGTTCACAGTAATCGCGAGGTATTACGGCTTTAACAAAAAGAACCACTACTTGTAGCTGGTCAATCTGCAAATGGCGATTGACCGTTGATCAGTTTGCAAATGACCATCGTTTCATGTGGTTTTTGCGGCAAGACTCTTTGATTGCAGGAAAGCGAATACTCCGTGAAAGTAAAAGCCAGGGACGGTTTGTGGGAAGTACGTACATCGCTAACTATCACTGTGCTAGATG